AAATCTATACTTTTTAAATTTCTTGGTGAGCCATTTCACCTATTTGGAGGTTCCATCCCCACATGGATTCGTTGATTGATTGTGTGGAGTAAACCTCGACCGATAGTGATATTGATTATGTCGACAGGCGGAAAGGTCCAAAGGGAGGAGCAAAACGACAAGAAATGACCTATTTTGTGATAGAAAAAGACTAATAATTGTTCCCCGGTCGTTTTTTAAATTGCAAATGTTCTTCTTAAATGTTAAACTTAAAATTAACATCCCACCCACCCGCAACTCCCTCCCCTGTGCACTTGTTCGCGCGATCGCATGAGTGAAGTCCACAAAAACGAATATGCATCGATCGATAATCGTGGAAGTAATCAATTTGAATCCACCAATTGTAACGTTGTCTTTAACGGCACGTAGCCGGCGTGATTTCGGGGCAAGTGGAGGAATAATACTTTTACGTTTGGTATGGGAAGAAGGGCCTGCCCCGGAGTGGGGCTAGCCCAGCGAGTATTGGGCCAGACCTTGGGGTCCGTAATTCAGTGCTTTGAATGGGAAAAGGTGGATCGGAAAGACATTAATTTGATTGAAGGGACAGGGGCCAGCCTTCCTAAAGTTGTGCCATTACAAGTCATGTGCAAGGCACGACCCCTTGCAACCAAGGTGTTCTCCAAAGAAGTTTAGGGTATTAGCCAACCACCTTCCAACCTAACTGTTATGGCTTTGGTGGTGTCAAGTATGACACCTTATCTTGAATATGAGTTCAGTTCAGTGTGAATATATATATATATATATATATATTTTTATATATGGGAAGTTCAGTGTAAATTTTAATAATGCAATAATACCATTATGTAACCTGATGATAGCAATAATGAATTAAAACATTACCATAGTGGTTGTTTTAAAGTTTCAAGATGAGTTATCAATTATTGATTTTAATCAAATTAAATGAAATTAAATATTTTAAATTATATTTTAGGCAATAAATAATTATTAATTAGTTAATCAAAAAATGTTAATCCAAATACACCCTACATCTTTTTAATATAAATATTTAACTACAAGCAAATACAAACATACACATTACAAATTTCAACAATTAAGAAAAAAAAAAAACACCAAACTAAGGAAAATCTGGACAAAATGGGCAGAGTCCAACCCAAAACCAAGTGCTTGAATAATTTAATTCCAAGTCAATTTCATTATTAAAAAATTTGCAAGCATGAAGCATCCCACCAAATCCATCCTTATCTGATTACACAATTACAACACAAAAACAATGTAATTTGGTGGGCATTTCTATCGTTCCATCCACTAATCTAACAACCCTCGCTCCTATTTGGCTTGGAAGAAACGAAGACCTGATCACAGAGAAAACAACTGCGTTCGTTTCAAAATCGATGAACAAAACAATACTACCATGAGATATTTGGATCAATTACAATCCCATCTTGATACCTGATTTTCTTCAACACTGGGAATCCAGTCATTTGTTGCAGGGTTGCTACCCAAAGGTCGTCTGACGACTATGTTTTCCGGAACAGGGCTGACTTCCGGCTCAATATCATTTCCACTCTCTTCGCCGTCATCCTTTGACACCCTTATAAACCCATTTCCAGTCTGTTATCAATCAACAAGAAACGCCACAAAACTCAAATCAATCCTTAAGGAATCATCAATATTTGAGAAGATGGAAGATTATGGGTATAATTATATACCGTGTGGTGCTGTTTGTCTATGGAATGCAGCTCCCTATAGTATTCTGTCTCCACAAACTCATCTGGCACCTCCAATTCTCCATCAACCGAAATTTTCACCTAAGAAAAATACCACAAATCAAAGATGGTAGAAAGGAAGAAAAAAAAAACCCAGAATTTCTAATTTTAAAAACGATTTTATGGGAACCGAGTTAGAGAATGCGCACAGGAAACTGGGATTGGAGAGATCGCAGCTTGTTGAGCTCAGGTATGGTCTGGTCTACGCCGGGAGGCAGGGCTGTGGCGGAAGGGGACGTGGAGTCGGGTTCGCTTCTGTTGGGTTTGGCGGGTCGTTTGGGGGCCAGGGAATCCAACTGCGCCCTGACCTGGGCGGTGATTTTTTGCTGTTGATCAGGGTCCAAGACATCGTCGCTCCGGCTTGGTTTCGTCACCGTCAACTGACCCACCATCTTGATCTCGATTCTTCGCGTCTTCAGATACAACCAGCGGTCCTGGATTGAATTTGAGTCCGCAAATGTATTACATAGGATCGAAAACCAGGGGCAACTGGAATACCGCCTATTTGACCCTGGCTATGGTCCATTGCTCGTTGGTGGATTTGTTGGAGCATTGCTTGAGTTAGCTCAGTTGTTGTTTAGGCCCAGAACACTTGGACCACATCAAACGACCCAAAGTAATATATACATGTATATGTGTCAACATTGACATTTCTTTTTCTGGAAAATAACAATAAAGTTTTTATGTATAATAACTAACATAGATAATTTTCTTAAGAGAAACTCTTTATAATTTGAGCCTAAACCTTGGTTAATACAACCATTTATGAATGATTGGAGGATGCATCATAAATACTGTTGTTGATTTTGGACTGGCACATTAAATAAGATGTTCTAGGATTTTTGCATAATTGATCCATGGGCACCTGATGAGAGTTTAAGTTGCAATTTGCTAATTGATTAATTTCTTAGACTTAAATTTGAAAGAGAAGATCAGTTTTACTGATTAGATTTGAAAGAGAAGATCAGTTTTACTGATTAGATTAAACCAACTGAAGTGTTATAGTGGCCAACTTGCTGCTGGAGCAACTGCAATATTTTCCCTTTCTAAGATCATTCTGAATAAGTTATATTATTTTCCTATTATGTCAAGTGTTGTTTATCATCTCTTCACCTATTACTTT